CAGCCCTGTTCCAGGGGGTTCCAGATGTTCTTACTGAGCATATGCAGCCTTGGCACAGTGGTGGGTTGCCTCATCTTTTGTTTCTTGAATGCTGAGGGTATGCTTCCAAGGGCTGGGTCGTTGGTCCAAGTATTGGTTTTGATGGTGGGGTGATTTAGTAGGGGGTCCTGCTATCATTGTGTTTCACTCATTCATTCACTCTTTTGTTTCAGGCATTCAAGGAAAACCAATTTACATAGGAGGGGTAGGTATAAGTCATAGTTGCAACATATTGTATAGGGCAGAGGACACAAGGTGGAGGCTTGACATACAAAATGGAAACTTGACATTACTTTACAGACATAGGCCTAAACCATATAGTATTAATATGAAACAATAAAAATTAATGCAAAAATGATAGGAATACAATATAAAACAGTAAAAATTAATACAAACATAACAGGACACTATTTACAATATTAAAAAGGGGCTTATTACAATAATAGTATACAAGAACTTAGCTTACCTAGTACTACTTGTAATCACTTATAAGGGATAGAGAGAAAGTCAAAAATGGTTAGGTGAAGGGGAGGGAATGTATTTCAAAATTTAAAAAAAGAAAAACTGGGGGTTTTGCTACAATTTAATTGAGTCAACTGAATGTTATAGTGGTTAAATTTGGCCCCTGGTCTCTATCCTGATCAGATTAAATCAGAGAGACTAATATGATACATGGAAGGACAGCAGTGCACAGAAAGCAAGGGAACATTGGCTCGGGATTCAGTGTAAAAGAAATGATTAAAGAGAGACCTGGGAGTGGTAACATGGTTTACCTTGCAGGAAGAGGGAAACTGTTCCAAATATGTGAGGGTAGCATGAAATGAGATGCAAAGCCAAGCGTGGGAAGAGACAAAGGGAGCAGTTAGGGGAGAGGGTTGAGGGAAGCATATGGAGTGAGAAGAAGAATAGGATAAAATTAGAATTGAAATGTAGGTAGGTGTAAAATTGTGAGGAGCTTTAAAAGTTGGGATAAAATCTTGAACTTTATGCTGTAAAACAGGAAACTAATAAAGGGATTCAAGGACAGGGAGGCAGTTGGAATGATAGATGTGGACAACAATGTTTAGCATAGACATCTCACTAAAACTGGAGTAGGGAATGATGAGATTTGGAGAAAGCAAAGGAGGAGAAAATGAGAAAGGACAAAGTAGATGTAGGTGATAAGCCAGATGGGTTAAACCTGGATGACCAGGGGTATGGTAGAACTGTTAGTGATGCTAAAGAACGTAACAATTTTTTTTAAAATGGGGGGGAGGGGGGGAGTTCCATTCTAGACACATTGTATGTACACCTGAGTCAGTTTTTTCTGGTTCCCCACAGGTGGCCATATTGACCATCTGCACTTGAGCAGTCAATCCAGGGGATAGTTGCACGTGTTGGAGCTTGCAGCTTACTTATTTAAAAACAAACTGAGCTTGCACCTGTTCCATGGGTGGAGAAATAATATACCCAAGTGCCTGACACTGATCCTTGAACAGTCCTATGTGAATCCAGCTCTAGAGAGAAAGAAATTATATAAAACTCCTAAATCTATAAACATTGCTATATAGCTGTGTCGTTTGGAAGAGCAGAGGACAAGTAGATTGCATAGCACCAGAACAGCCGTACCTGCAGGACAGCCAGGAGGGAAAGTAATTATGAAACTTATTGATTCCCTCATTTAAAGCCCATCACAAGCTAGTCATTATGTTTCCAAGAAACATTATATAGTTGCAATCCTGCTACAGGCAATTTGTTTAAATGTAGGGTCATCAAACTTCAGTTTTGTTTGGAGAGGTTTGTCAGTTTGCATCTTTGGATTGACTGCTAAGGGAAGATTTGCTGTTTCAATACCACAACGGCAGTGGATAAGCACCAAGTTTAAAGACACTTTCCTGTCCCTGTCTGTTATGTTATAGTCAGAATCATTTTATAAAGACATACAGTCTGATTTGAAGATTCATAACTGAGAGCTTATAAATCTGATCATTAACTCCCCCTTTGGCATGCTGCTTTTATTTTGGTTGGTTAGTCTGTGCATGGGGGCTATGGGGGGGGTTTTGTGACCTTGGGTTTTGGTGCAGTGAGTCAACCAATATCCTGTAGCGTGTATTGAACAATACTTAGAGCCAGTAGCAGTAGTTTGGTGACTTGTCTCCAGCAAAAGAAAACTGAAAGCACACGCTGTGCTGAAGTTATTGGTAAATACTGTCTATGCAACAAGCTGTCCTGTTGTGCTGCATTTACCTCCCTTTGCCAATTGATTTTTAGAAGGAATGTGTTCCCAGCTGGGTTGTTTGTTACAGAAGGCACAGAGATTACATCATTTTACTCTTTTTTGTTTGTTACATTTTTCCTTCTTTTTGTTTGTGTATCCAACCAAGTTTAATAAAATGACATTGTTGTTAATAAGCAGGACCACAATTCTACTTTTTTGTAGGCAAAAACATCCTTTAACTTTAATAGCATATTATCTGTACCAAAGATTTTACCCTATTGCTATCTATTTAAGTACATCTAAATTCATTATTCAAGTGCAGGTACAGCATATACTAGAGGCAGGTCTTGATCTGGTACTGCGCTGTCTTAGAAGATGGATTAGTAACATAAAAAGCTAATAACACTAAAGTTTTCCCTGTCTGGGTTATCTTTTTTTACATTAATTATACAGTGGAGACCTCTTAAATGGGTAACCTTGGTGAAGAACATATATCTCTTCCATAGGCAGGATTAGGAGGGTGTGAAGAGGGTTCATTTCCTAGGTATTCATTTAGAGTTAAGAGATTTCATCACAGATTTAGAAGAAAGATAAATTAGTACACCGAGGGAAGCAATTTCACTCAATTACTTTAACATAATTTTTTGTTTAGCAAATTCATACAAAGATTATTTGCCAGCATTTATTCATGTGACCAATTTTATTCCTTTGCCAAATGGTGACTGGAAAAAGCTTCTCTGATGGTCAGAAATGCCAACCACCCCCTCTGTAGCAAGGCAGTAGCATCCTTCATCACTCTTTAACATTAGCCGTCCAACTCAGAGGAAAATGCTCTATTCTTAGAAATATTATGAGTGCTCCTAGGAGCCTAATCATAGATAAGGGCCAACCTGTGCTAGGTGCTGAACAAACACATAACAGAAAGGCAGTCTTTGTCCCAAAGAGCTATCTTTCTAAGTGGATGAGATGCATCCAGTGCTGCATTACCCTGACTGATGTAGTAACATGCTAAGGGAAGGGGAGAAATGAAACTGATTCATAGAGGACCTCCTAAAAGATTTAATCCATTGTTTCATCCTTATTGTAACTTCTTTCTATGATGATTGGATGTGTTTGTTACCACTACAACTATGGGCAATACTGACTGAATTATTGGAAACCAATTATTAAACCTTCATAATGATTATGAAATGAAATGATGTGATCTATTCTTGGTCCCCTTTCAGTGAAGCATGCCAGGTATGTTTAAATGCTTTGTTGCACAGAGATTCAATTTAGTTCAGTATGAGCTTTAGTGTTTTGTGGAATTTAGGCCTTACTTTCACGGTGGCTTTTACTGTTAAGCTATTCTTCCAAAATCTTATTTTTAAAGGGTAGCTTTTGAAGTGTGAAGTAACAAAAATATCCTGCTCGCTAATGTTAATATCCAGCCTAAGGCACTTGGCAGATGTTAAACTTAAAATGAAATTATTCTGTTAATCACATCTTAAATAGTAACCCAGCCACACATTCAGGGAATTAACTGCCAAAAAAAATTACACAAAATGTGTAATATTTTTGTGGCTGGTTTCCATTATGATGATGTGGCAAAGTTAGAACTGCACTGAGGTCTCAACCAAGCCTTGGTACAGTCTCCACTAGCCAACAATCAGTTGATTATCAGCCGGCTCCAAGGACCACACCAGGATCAGCTGGAGCCCCAGTACTGTCCTGAAGCCAGATAATAATCAGCTGATTGTTGCCACCGGGCTTTCAACTTGCCTGTGCAGGGGGAGCCCAGGATCATGGCCATGATCCCGGGCTCCCCCTGCACTAGCAAATAGGGCTCAATTGGGATCTGATCACTGACTCCAAAAAAATAAATAAATCACACTGCTCCCATGCATGTGTAGTATGGCAGAAGGCACGATTGTTGGGATCAGGGATCAAATTTTCCTTTATTTGAACATCTGTCAGTGGCCTAATACCTACAGAGATTGAAAGAACAACTAAAAGGTTCACTTTGCAGGAAAATGTTGCTTAGGGGTTTTTTTGGCTGTTCCTACTAACCTAAAAGCTAGCTGACTGAATAATCCATGAGAAACTAAATACCTATGAGCAGAGGTCACAAAATTGCTATTGTAAGCAGTTTATTACAACAGTCTGACAGAGTAGGCATAAGCCAGACAAAAGGCCCATTGTTATTTTTCTAGGAACCATCTAGGAACTTATATGGCCCCATCAATGTAATATCTAAGTACTTGCCTTTTTTTATTAATGCTCCTGTCAGGTAGAGAGGTATTCTCTTCATTTTACAACGAAAGAATTGAAGCACAGGGAAGCTAGGTAACTTCTTGAAGGCCAAACAAGAAATCTCTGGTAAAAAGCCAGATACTCTGCCCCAGCTTTCAGGTTGGTTGTTTAAGCATAAGATCATATTCCTTGTCTTAGAGTCGAGAGGACATGTGGTGGGTGGGTACTGTTCAGAAATAAAAAACATGGCGCCCGCCCCAAACTACTCCTTCCTGGCTAAAAGGCAGAAATCAAAAAAGAGTAGGGAGAAAAAGTGCAGAGTATTGTGCTCAGGGTGCTGGGCATGAGAGCTGGGAAGAGGAACTGGCTGCCAGTGACATTATAAGAAAATGAGAAAATATGATTTCTCTAGGGGTTTTGCTTAATTAAGAGTGTAAGATTGGACCATAAAGCTATAACCATGTTTAAATGTAACCTGTGGTTCATCAAAACAACACATGTACTTTGAACTTACAGTTTAACTTACTTGCAGAAACATGATGGGCACTTCACAGTCATCCAGCTGGTTGGCATGCTGCGTGGAATTGCATCTGGCATGAAGTATCTTTCTGATATGGGCTACGTACATCGAGATCTGGCAGCTCGTAACATTTTGGTCAACAGTAACCTCATGTGTAAAGTCTCTGATTTTGGCCTGTCACGAGTGTTGGAGGATGACCCTGAAGCTGCTTATACAACAAGTGTAAGTTTCTCTTCTCTGAACAGTTTACTCAATTGTGCCAGCTATAGTTCCGTTCTTCCTGTTTTGATCACATTTGTGCTCCCAGCACCATATAGTTTGAAGTGACTGATTTTTCTTTCATTATCTATGTGTGTGATTTGGTTATCAGTGTCATTTACTTAATGTAATCATTATGGAAGGTTGTTAAGTGATATTCAGTCCCAACCCTGAAGCTTTTTTTCATTCTCTTGCTCCCAGCCTCCTTTTCCTCCCCCACATCCCAGTATTTATTTGCAAAAAGTTTCTTTAAAAAAGATTTTATGGACTCCTATGAACTATGTTTAATATTTGGTCATTGCTCTCTATGAAAAATCCATTCGAAGATAATTGGATCATAAACTACCAATGGTCTGAGTGCTCTATAAAAGCTGACTAGTACGCGTGCAGAAGTTAGAGAGGGTCCAAAGGTGTGCAACAAAGATGATCAATGCAGGTCAAGGCTTGGAAGGCAGGTTATATGAAGAGAGGCTGAAGGATCTAGGCATGTTCAGCTTATGGAAAAGATGCTTAAGAGGGGACATGATAGCAGTCTTCAAATACTTGAAGGGCTGTCATGGAGAAGAGGGCAAGCACCTTTTTCTTTCTTGGTACAGAGAGGATGATGCAGACTAATGACTTGAAGTTGCAGCAAAGGAAATTTAGATTAGATATCTGTAAAAAACTTTTTCACTGTGAGAATAGCGAGGCAGTGGAACAGACTGCCTAAGGAAGTTTGTAGGCTTTCCATCACTGGAGGTGTTCAAGAAGAAGTTAGACAGCCACCGGTTGAGGATGATCTAGGTGTAGCTATGCCTATTTTTTACCATGGGTATATCTCATGCTTCTGGGCTTTGCTGGTGGCTCCCTCCTCTGTCCCCTGCCTTTTTTCTGTTATATATGTAAGGGTGTTTGCAAACCTCCCCAGAGACATTGGGTATCGGCTATAGCCAAGGGTGGGGACTTCAGTTGGAGAGTGCCAGTTCTCGTGCTAGGAGCAAAGCCAGAGGTTCTTGGCTAGAGGAGCTTAATCTCCACTTGGGGTCAGACTGATTGCCATATTTGGGGTCAGGAAGGAATTTTATCCCATCGTCAGATTGGTATGGACTGTGGGAGTTTTGCCTTCCTTTATGGCAGGGGGCATGGCCCTCTACCTGGGAGCACTTGAGCTTATATTGACAACATTTGTAGAAGCAGGACATTGGCTGCCATGGTTCCCCTGCTTTATTCATAGCAGGTTAGGGTGTTAGGGCTATGTTGTGTCAGGGTTGAGGGTATTCTTATGTAGAGTTTAGATTATGGCTGTATGGACTGGCTTGGATAGGGATGATCCTGCCTCAGGCAGGGGATTGGACTAGATGACCTCTGGAGGTCCCTTCCAGCTCTACTTCTCTGTGACTATGTTTTTAAATGAACATTTAGTCTGTCAGTATGTTGATTTATTCCATCTTCTTCTGAAAACACTTAATAAACTGTTAGGTAAGTAAGAAGGTAGTTATCACTTTTATTCTCAAGTTAGTCCCATATTACCATATTAATAAAAGTGCTTCCTTTTTAACATGAGAAGCTTAGTTCATTTTGGTCTTTCTAAGTTTAGCATTGTGGGATAAGCTGCAGTTTGCTGTTAGCATCTGGATCCATCAACTCAAATTTGCATCACCATACAAGCTTATTAACAGATTTTTCTGTGCTCTTAATTTGGTTTGGTTTGTTTGAAAGTTCTCCACTATTTTCATTGGTGGCATTTTTCACGCATTTCTCTGAAGGGAGAATACATTATTGAAGAAAAAATTATCATCTACATTTGTACCGAAAATACTGATATACAATGCTCTGGAAAAATTATCTAAAATCTTCAGACAAGTATAATGCCAGATGTCTGAGCTTGTAGATACTGAGTCCGGAACTCTCATTTAAATTCCCTGGCAATTCTGTACCTAGAAGGGCAAGATAAAGCCCCATATTGTATATTAGATATTAAATTATGTTGCTCAAGCTTGCCATCTAGCAGTGTTACCAGATTTGCCCATCACTTTGGGGTGTGCTCATTTACTAGGGACACATTTCTAGGGTCTTTGTAATTCTATCAATGTGCTGCTTGTGTTACTTATGTTTCTATATGGAGCTGTATCTCTCCCTTCTGCAAGTCCTCACTTCCAATGGAGCTATCTTGTAGGACTCAGTTTTAATGGGACTGGGTTCCTCTGGTCACCAAATCAGTCATACACACACAAACACACACAGATTAACGTGACATGCCTAACCCGGCCGGGTTGATCAGCATGGACAGGCTGACATCCTCATATGCCAAGAATCAGTTAATCAGAGCAACAATAAACTGCAGTCAGACACAAGCACACAGGTATACAGAATACCTCTGAATCCAGCTGGGTGTCCAGCTAACACATTTGTGGGCCAGCATTCAGTTCATTAGGGCATGTCTGAGCCAAACTGGGTCAATCAGCCTGTACAAGCTGATCCCCTTATGTGTTTCAAGCTCAGCACATCCCAATCTTTTTGTCCTAACTGTCCTAGTAGGGGCAGCCTCTTGATGAGCAGACCCCACAGTATTTCTGGGCTTCACAGGGATCTTTAGCTTAGGTAAAAGAAGTGTTGCTGCAGAGCAAGTGGGAAGGAGAAGTAGAGAAGGAAAAAATATACCCAATTACTACCAGTTTGACTATAAAAGTTATTTATCGCTGAGTATATGAAGCATATAATGGTACTAGTAGTAACAGACATGCAAAGGAAAAACAACCACAAACAATTACAATGCTACCCTGGTTTCACTAAGTATTTGGGGAAACCTAGCTCAAGCTTAACTAATACAGTCCAGGTTCAGAAATCTGTGCCTAGAGAGAAAAGAGAAAAGAGAGAGCGAGAGCTGGGATCTCACCAGTCCAAGGCATTTGGGTTCCAATGCTGACGCTGACAGGTAAAGTTCTCAGCACAATCCTTGAAGGGAGACAATCTGTTTCTTCCAGCTTCTCGAGAACAACAGCGGGTGGTGTCAGAGAGATTTCTCCTCTTGAAGCACACCTTGCTACTTTTTTACAGATTTTTATACCCTCAGTTCAGCTTCTTGAAAGCATTCTTTTAATAGTGTAAATAATTGTCTTTTCTACTGACAAGGGGTTATCTGGTTTGGAATATCTCAAGAAACTGATTAACAACCAGGAAAACATACGTTTTTAAGGAATAACCAGACACTTAGGAGCCAGCTTGAAATTCGTATGGATAGCAGATATATTGGATGAGATACCTCATTGTTTCTTCAGAAACAATAGATAGCTTGCAGCATCAGGGTTTTGGATTTTTACCTGTTGTGAATAAGCCTCAGCTTAGCATGACTTTTCCAGATCTTACTGAAATGGGTTGATTACTTGAAGTGTTCAACTTTTGTGGGGAAGACTTCTACCAGTCATCCCAGGAAAAGTATGACAACACTTGTGGTCAGGGCTACAATGGGCTGGACACTGTGATGAACCTTTAACCATTGTTCAAATGTTGCCCATACCCCCTCTGACTCAGTCTCTTGCCTCAGCATTCCCTAACCCAGCAACCAAGTTTTAGTCAATCAAGTTTAAATAGGCCTCCTATAGTGGGACCGGGGAATGTATGATCGCAGATGCCTATTAAAATTTACTTCTGGTTAGATGAGGGGGCGGTCCTTTGTAAATCCAGATTAGAATTGGTCTGATAAATGCTGAGTTGGGTGTGTATCAATGTGGGTTGATTAGCATTTGGAGCACAGATTCCCCATCATGCAGTACTCCCCTGCTTCTCTGATCCCAGAATTCACTGCAGTCTTTGTTTCGGGCTTTCTGTTCTCCATCTTCCATGTAAATGAATGGTCATCTGGTTCCATCTCAGATGCAAATGAGACTTAGGGCAGTTGCTCCCTTATCTGGAGGGCTTTAGGTGCATCTCCCACTGCATCTTCATTGTCTTTTGGAATCAGTTTTTGTTCAGGTAGGGGGAGGGGGGAATTCTTTGTGAGTCAGGCTGCATCCTGTGCCAGGGTTCCCCAAGAACACGGAGCGGAGAGGTAATAGCAGTGCTGTAGCAAGTGTGGGGCTTGCAGGGCGACCGCCTTGGCCACCAAAGCAAAGGGGCACCCACAGGCACTGCCCAGCCAGGGTGGGGCACAGGATGGAGCCATGAGTGGCTCATTTGGGGAGGCACAGAGATGGGGGAAGGGTGACTCCCACCGCTGTGTGCACTCCCGGGCAAGCTTGGGGTACGTGTGCCCCCCAGATCTGTGTGCAGGGCAGGGGTGGGGTGCTGCCATGACCTTTGCCCTGGGTACCAAACTTAGTTGCTACAGCACTGCCATCCAGTAAGAAAAAAAAGTTATGACTATGTTCAAGATTTAAGTCCAATTATATTAATAGTCAAGTTCATTATGTTATCAAAGTGAATTTTGGTTGGCTATGAGGAAGAATAGCTTTATCTCATAAATGAACAATTCTTGAACATTGAGAATACTGTTCAAACCTGACCTATGAATGGGTGAATAAACTGAATCTGCAGTTTAGCTAAATAGTAGTCTCAATACAATAAAATGTTCATCTGATTATTAATATAGCATTAACAATCCTAACCAGATATATGAAAGTTTCAAGTAAATGTTAATCTGCACCATAGAAATTAAATTGATTACAGACACCAGGCGTAATAAAGCATTCTGCCAGAATACATGGAATTATGAGCTCCCCTTGAAAGGAACAGAGACAGAATGCCAGAAGATTAGCATGAAATAATTTATTTTAACCTATTTTTCTAAAGTACTTTCAATTTAAGAAGTGGTTTGTAACCACAATGTGGAACTCATCTAATGTAACTGTATTGTAATAAGTATCCTATTTGTTCTGGCAAATTCATCATAGCTCCTATAATAGGACCAGGGTTTTTGCAAAACAATAGCTTTTTTAAGTTTAAACCAAAGAACAGTTATCTGAAAAAAAGGTTTCAGTAATGTCAGC